CTCCACTGCTTGAAACATTTGTTTACTGCCCCCCAGATTTTTAAAGATTAATGCAGTAAATATAAAAATTAATTTTGGCTCCCTAAGCCATATATGTATTTGACAATTTTAACCACAAAGTAAGTTATTTAATAATAACCACTGATTTCTTTAAGCTGACTTAATGAACTCCTAATATCAGCAAATTTGAGGCCTAAAGGCACTAAACTAACTCTGGACTCAGAATTACATCCAACAGAATTACTCATCTAATATCATTGAAATTATTCTTGCACATAAAGGCAACCTAAGTACAAAGTTAAGTCTTTTACTAAGGATGTTACCTAGGATGAGCAGTATATGTTTATTAGGAAATTAACTACACGAATTGAAGAGACCAGACTTCAAAATCTAATTTTTATAAATATGCTCTATGTTCTCATTGGATAAAACTGGTTATTAACCAATTTTCCAGAACAGCTGTACAAGACTTCTGCATGGCAGCCGGCTAAATGGTACAAAATAATATGTTTAAGCTGGAATAGCTTATAATTTTATTTAAATAAAATTGCTGCTATAAAAAGTGCTTCCCAAAGCTAAGGAAAATATACACATATTTTAATTAAGGCAAATTCGTTTTAAAAAATAAACCTTTTAGCAGTGATTGCTTTGTAAACAAAGGATGGGTCGGAGGAGAGAGAGCCTTAAACTCAAGTCTGACATTCAGGCCCAAGTCACCCTATAAACCGGTCCTTAGCAATTCTATTTTCTATTCGGAAAAGAGAAACCAGCTGTGGGTTGGCTTTACTAGGTGATGTGTGATTGACTGACTCACCTGCTGGAGCAGCAATGCGTTCTCACCTTTTGCTGGTTTCTAAACACGTGGATGCACAGAGAGCAAGGCTCAGCCTACTGCAGCCATCTCTGGCAGCGCCTCTACCCCTCCCCAGCCCATAGATGGGATTGTTTAAATCTCCCTTGTTGACCCAGTGGTAATTCTTCCTCTACCTAAATAGTCGATATGAGTGAAATCATTCTCTTTTGATAGGTAGTTACTAGCAGTTAACAACCATTTATTTACTTTAAAAATTAATAATAAACTTTATAAACTAACAGTCTGTTTGCTTCTCCTCCCCAGTACATGCCCGGGTGAGTTGGTTATTTTCAGCCTTTATTCCTGAGGAGGCTCAGGATGGGTGGGGGAGGGAAAGAAAGGGGAGGAGATGTGGTGGGGAGAGAGAGAGAGGCGAGAGGGAGAGGGGGAGAGAGAGAGAGAAAGAAAGAGAGACAGAGAGAGAGAGAGGCCCTAGGGGAGGGAGGTTTACAAGTGAAGAGTAGTTAGGGAATATGGTGACTCTGAAGAATCGAGACCAGTAGTGTCCAGGAATTAGAAAAAAGAAACTGCTATTTCCATGCGCTCCCCGCTCTGTGAGCCATTTAGGTGAGAGCCTCGCTCTTCGCAGTTCCTTTCTTCCCCTGCCTCGATGCCCTCCCCTCTTAATGCTATTTTAGCTTTTCCTCTTGTAAATTTCAGAGCCAGCTCAGAGGTTATTGAGGACACTTATCCGAAAGAGGCAAATAATAGAGGTGCTGAGAGTGTTTTTGATGTTTCTTAAAAGGCAAAAACAAAACTCCCTCCTCTAAACAAGGGCACAAAATTGTACCTGGTTTTTATTTTTATTTGGTGGAGTGGGGAGGGGGCTGGCTCTGGCTGAATAAGACTACTTTTTAGTATGATTTAATTTTTTTCAAAAAATTAAAAATATTTTACTCTATCATATTTAATCAGCTGTAATTATAACACATTCAAAATGAATAATATGCCTTGACAGTATTTTTATTGTTATTGTTCATTGCATGATGTTCGACTGCTTTAGAAGCACAGGAAAGAGAAGTAAACGCGCTACAAATGGGGAATTACCCTCGTTTAGCATTAAAATTCATTTAGATAAAATTGCCACAAACATTTAAATGGGAAGATTAGTTCCCCCTCACGCCTTATTGCACTCGCTCAATGGTTCCGTTAAGAACATTTTACACGTTGGAAATTCCGTCTTCTCAGACGGCTTGCTGTTTCCTAGTTACCCACATTCAAAGCAAAGGCAGCAGCAAAGGCAGCCGCAGCAGCAGCAGCAGGAAAAAAAAAAAAAAAGTTTTGGCAACTGGTCTGCAATTCATCCGCTGCTCGCCCCAGTCTCCCCTCCGCCCACTGCAGTCTGCCCCCACCCCTTCCCCTTCCCCACTCCTACCTCTTTCCCCTCATTATGTAATTCGCAGAGTCCCGTCCTCGAGGAAACACATTGCCTAGTTGTGTAGTATTTATATACAATGTTAAAATACAACGAAAGACCCCAAAATCAGTCGAGTCGGTTCCTCTCTGGATATCCCTCTCCCTCTCCTGTTCTAAAATGAGGGTTTAGCTTGAATGTGCTGAGTTTCTCACATCCCGTACCCTGAGGCCACAAGGCACGTTTTTTTGGCTTTCGTTTCTGCCAGGACTTTTCCAGGAAATTCACCACTGCTTTTTGCTTGCATTAGAAACGTGTGAAAGAATTAGTTTGAAAAGTCCATGCACCGTCTAGCTTTTCTCCCCCCTTTTCCTCCTCCTCCCCTCCTCCTCCTCTTCCTCTTCCTCCTCCTCCTTCTTCTTCCTCTTCCTCTTCCTCTTCTTCTCTCCTCTCTCTTTCCCTCTCCCCGCCACTCTCGCACTCCCCCATCCTCCTCTCTCCCCCTCCCTTCGCAGAGCCACAGGAAAAGAGGAAAGTCGGCTTCGACTGCCATCTTTTGGGGATTTGGAAAAACGACTCGGTAGGAAACGGAGGGAGGCGGAGGTGCGGGAGTGGGGGAAACCCCCTTATTATCCAGTGTCGGAACTGGCTCCCTTAATCTGATGCTTAAATATTTGATGTGGAAAAATTACCCATAAAATTAGTTACTAACAATTTCAAATTGAAATCACTTATCGAATTATAAACGCATTAAAGCTGTATGGATGGTATTAGGAGTTCCTCGGGAGGCAGCGGGTGTCTCCTTGCAGTGAGCGGGGTGAGGCAAGTTTCGCCCCGGGGAAAAGCGCCCCCAGCCGAGCCCGGGGGCAAGGCCGGAAGGGCGGCGCGGCAACCTGGGCGCAGGGTCCGGGTCAGGGGGACCGAGCGGGCGGCCAGGTCCGGGCGGAGGCTGCGGCTGGTTCGGCTCGCGGGGGCGGGGAGAAGGGGAGGGGAAGGAGCCTGGGTGGGAGGCTCCGACCCCGGAGCACAGGCGCCTACCAGCAAACTTCGTAGTGAAGTCGAAGGATTCTGAAAAGGAAAAACACAAGCCCTGCCCTCCCCCTCCCCTCTCGCGTCTCCCAAGCGTCAAGCAGACTTCGCGCTCAACTTTGCGGTCGGGGTTAGTTGCTGTGTGCAGTGTCCCCCAAGTGTGCGGGAGGAGCGGGAGGGGAGAGGCTCCTGTCCTGGGGTTGGGCCCGGCTCCGTGCCGCGAGTGGAAATCCCGCGGGCAGCTGCGCGGAGGTCCAGTCAGGACGTGCTACCCCTGAGTCCCACGATGCGCTGGGTCCCGGCCTAGGCCCAGTGCGTGGGCGGGCAGGTCTTTGCCCGGAGACCACAGCTCTGGCCGGGGGCGCTGCACAGGCGCCTGCCTTACCCTCCGGCCCTCGCTTCACCCCCATCTGAGAGTATAGTCTAAGGGACTGTTGACTTTGTCTCTGGAGATGGGGCGACCAGGGGTCTGCGAGGGAGGCTGTGGAGAGGCACCTCCTGGGTGGGCGTCCTCTTTCCTTGGAACCTCTCCGAGTGCTTTGTAGTAGCCCGGAGACTTCCTAATAGACTTTGCCACATCAGGGCCCCAGACTCCAGAGTCCCATAGTGGCCCTGGGAGCGCGACCCAGAGAGCCTGGGGACTCGAGGGCACAGGGAACGAGCGCACGGCCCCCTAGGAGGGCGTTGGGCGGGGAGTGCCGGAGTCTGGAGCAGCAGCCGAGAAGCCGTAGAACGCACCCCGACGTCCTAGGCAGAAGCTCCTCAGGATCACTTTATAAGCTCTTCAAACTTTGCCCAGCCTTTCGGATACCCTCAGGCCCTTGGCCCATGGGAAGGCAGTAAAAACGTCACTTCATGCTGCAAAGCTCCCGGGTAGGAGCTTGGACGCCGATGGAGAGAGGCGTGGAACTGGGTAGTGGGGCGCCCTGCCTGGCGGGGCACTTTTCCTTGTCTCATTCTCGTCTCCCATGCCATGCCTTGCCCACTGGCTGCTAGCGGCGCGTTTCACTTAGGTTGGCCACGGAGAGGAGACTACGGGAGGCTGGGAATTCCAAGGTTTGGGGAAAAAGTAGTGAGCGAGAAAGGGGGGGTCAGGCAACTGAGGAAGACAGCTGATGGCGGGGAGAGGGAGGGCTCCCTTTTCGGCCCGCTCTACCAGCCAAGGCGTCTGAAACATTCTCTCCCTAGGCGGAGCTGAAAGGAAAAACAAACAACGTATTGAGCAATCAGTTCGCCAACGTTTGAGCTTTAAAGAGCCTTTGCTCTGAAAATAGTACCCTGGGGGTCTCCGTCGGGAGATGGGGGAAGCATTTTTAGGGCCTCGATTCTGGCTTGCCGCGCCCTACGGGTCACCCGTCCGCGCGCTGCCTCCTGACATCCCGGAGCGCTCAGCCCACTGAGGGGAAACCCGGGCGGTGAAGCCCTGGAGATAAGGGATTTAGTTTTAAGCCAGTCTCCCATCGATCGGGTCGGTAATTTCTACCCCTGCCCACTCTCAAACACACTCACCTCTACCCTAAAGCATTAAGTTCATTACGCGAGCAATGATCTTAATCTCCAGGCGGAAAACGAGTCCCGGGACCTCGCCGATTGGGGAAGCAGTGAATAAAGTCACCTGCTTCGCGCACCCGCTTGGCCCGCTCCTCCCGGTGGGGGCCGTGTGTGACAGGGAGCGCCGAGAGGGGGTTCCTAACTCCACTCCGAGGCGGACCGGGCAGGGGTCAGAAACCCTGTGTCTGTTTTCTGCGGGGTGACGACCTCCTG